CACTTGCAATCATATACTTAGGTACCTTTTGACCCCATGGGAAAAAAATATTTAATGTTCAGAAGTATCAATAACAGGAAGAAGATAAATTTTTTTAAAGAATGAAATGTTTCCCATCATAGTAGATTCTTAAGCACATTCTCCCCATATGCAGTGTGATAGCTGGAGGTCTTTTGGCATAATTGTTACACATTTGGCGTGGATAGCACACAGATTGGTGTTTTCAGAAAGGCCAACCAGACAGGCCTCACATGCCTCCTGCAAAGCACCAGTAGCTGCACTCTGGAAGCTGAATCTGTTTTCAGTCCTGAGCAATAATTTCTCGCACCAGACGCTACAAGGGAGGTTTGTGAATTAGAAGTTCAGTGGACTTCTGATAACGTCTAATTTCATGGAGATCCGGTACCAGGTGGGTAACACGAGGTTTCTTCACCCCTCCAGAAGAGGGCGCACCTCTAAGCAGCTTTTGTAGCCAGTTGCTTCCTCCTTGCTTTACCACATCTGGACTTGCTTGCAGTCCGCTTTGCAGGAGCCATGGTATAGAGACCTCCTTACTTACCCCATTTCTGTGTCTGGAGCTCAGGATAGCTAGAGGTCCCGCTGGCGTTGGAGAGTGACAGTGGCTTAGCGGCGGCTTTAAACATCTGTATTAAGCAGTTTTAAAATGACTTCTGATGTAGTGCCATCCTTCCAAAGACCTTTCTCTCCCAATGTAAGAATAAAAAATGTTCTCCCATGGTTTGTTGTAGTATTTTTTTTTTTTCTTAATTCTCACCAGAGGATATTTTTTCATTGACTTTCAGATAGAGTGGAAGGGAGGGAGGTGGGGAGGGAAAGAAAGAGATAGAAACATCAATTGGCTACCTCCTGCAAAACCCCAACCCAGACTGGGGATCAAACCTGAAACTCAGCCCAGCCAGTGTGGCTCAGAGCTTGAGCATCGACCCATGCACCAAGAGGTCGCCGGTTCGATTCCAGACCAAGGCACATGCCCAGGTTGTGGGCCTGATACCCAGTGTGGGGCATGCAGAAGGCATTAATTGATGTTCTCTCTCATTGACGTTTCTATCTCTCTCTCCCTCTCCCTTCCTCTCTCTAAAATCAATAAAGAAAAAAACAAAAACAAGCAAACAAAAAAACCCCTGAAACCCAGGCATGTGCCCTTGACCTGGAATTGAACCTGGTCTGAGGGCCAACACTCTAACCGCTGAGCCAAACCGGCCAGGGCTATTGTAGTGTTTTGTGATTTCATTATTAATATTTACATTTTTAATCCTTCAGGAATTTGTTTTGGGGGCAAGGAGTGTATATTTTATTTTAATTCAAACAGTTACTCATTATCCCAAGAGCATTTATGAAAAAATACATCTTATCTCTATTGACTGAAGGGCTATCTTTGTCAACATATTAAATTCCAGTGTGTGGTTGCTCTGCTTTTCTAGATTTTTAGTCTGTTCCACTGAATAGTTAGTCCATTCATGCATCATTTGCTTATGGTGGTTTTATATGTTTTGATTTTGGACTTCTGCTTCCAGAACCATGAGAGAATGCTTTTCTGTTGTTTTAAGCCACCCACTTTGAGCTAACTTGTAAAGGCAGCTATAGGAAACTGCTTTGGTGATAGAGCTAGGATTTGAATACAAACCTCTGACTTAAGCCCTGTCTTATGAATGGGAGCTCAGGGATAGTCAGCCCTGCTCCTGAGAGTGGGTGTTTGTTGGGGGAAGGACAGGGGAAATTTACATAATGCCAATTTCCTTGGTTCTCATCAGCCTGTGGGTGTGAAGGGACAAAGGGGTATGCTAACTGTTCCATGTCCCTTTAGTTCTCTTCACTCTGTTCCAAGCTGTCCTGTGTCCTTCAGGCTGACTTCATGGCCTGCCTTGACCTCACTTCCTTGCCCCTGACGTCTGATTGCATTTGACCAATGCTAGGCACTAGCAGAAAATTGGAAGGTGGCCCCCTCCGTGCTAGGCCACAGCTTGTCAGTGGCTGTGCATTTTGACCTCAGGCCATATTTCCTGTCTTGTGGCCTTCTCCAGGTCCAGCTCTGGCACATTGGTTTGTTCCAGTGACCACTTCTTCCTTTCAGACCTACAGCTTCTTCCAGTCTAGTCCTAGAGTACTGTACCAGTCTCTTATTGGTTTTCCTTAAACCTGCCCACATCTCTATAGAAGATCTATTCTTTAAAATGCCATCAGCCATCCCTTTGAGAGGACCATGTGTTTCCTACCCAGATCCTGACCAACAGGAGGAGCCCCCACCTGCTCATTTGGAACCACTTTAAGTCTTGACCATTTTATGTGCCTCTGGGAAGCCATTTCTGCTCTGATAGGAGCTCTCCAGAAAGGCAAGCTGCTCAAGGACTCTGGAAAAGTCATGGAGAAGCCTATCTTCCCTCTGGGTTACTCTACACAAAGATTCTAAGCAAGCTGCCTGGCTCCAAGGGCTCCCCACCCCCATTCCCAGGAACTGGGCTAGGTATGGTCTGGGCTAGGTGGGGAGGTCTAGTGACAGAACTGCCTGTCTCTCTCTCTCAAGAATGGGAGGCAAAAGGTCTATTTCTGTCAGGATCACAGGGCAGGCCCCTCCTTTAATCACTATGAGCTTTCTCCCAGAGGCTTTTCATTCCTTATGCAAGCAGGCTTCTTGGCAGGGTGTGCTACCCTGTTGACAGACATGCCTAGACACATCCAATTCTATTTAGACTTGATCTGGGATCTTTCTGCACAAGGTTGGGAAGGTAGATTTGGGTCAGGGTGAGGAGGGCCTCCAACACAATCAAACAAGTTTTAACCTAATATTGTAGTCAAGGTGTATTCAAGCTGGGGAGAAATCTGGATCAAATGTGTTAAGAGGTTAGGGTATTGCCATCTCAGAACCCATGTTCTTGCTCTCCTTCTAACAAAGCATCACCTCAACCAGAGAGACCCTATCAGGGTACTCTCCATCACCACACCTTGTTGTTTTTCCGGAAGAATATATATCATTCCCTGAAATCACAGCTGTTTTCTTCTTTCTTCATCTATTCTGTGAAAGCAGGGAGATAGCCATTTTAGTCAATGCTATATTCCCAGGGGACCTGGCTTATAGTAGGTACTCAATAACTATGTGTTGAATTTGTTGAATGAATGAATGGATGTGGCCCAATGAATGAATTTAGATGAGAAAACCTGAAGAAGTCAAGGGATTTAACTACCTGCTTAAGAGTGCACAACTATCACTGGCAGAGCTGGGACCCGATCCAGGATATCTAACTAAATCCATTCCATCCAGGTGGAGAGGCAGGAGGAGAATGCGTTAGCAGGAATGATAAGGAGAGCCTGATCTAGGAGCCAGACTGATTGCATCTCTGTGGCAGTGAGATCCGAAAGGATAGGAAGGAGAGGAATCTCTGGGAAAGCATGGTGACACAGTGACCAGAGCTGAGGTGGTAGAGATGAGACAAGTTCCAGGAAACAAACAAACAAACACGTATTGGATGTTTATTCCTTGCCAGGCAATGTGCCAGGTGTGGTACCTGTACCTGTGTGGTCTGATTTACAACGTGCACTGTAGATACTATTATCCCCATTTTTATGAGCTAAGGAAATGGAGGCATAAGAGTTTATATAAATTAACCTCTTTTTTCCATTTATCAAGTACCTGATTCCTAAGCTTAACTTTTTCATACCCTCCACATGACCTCTTTGAACATAGGGTTGAAGCTGAGAGTTTTCCTTTAAGATGTTTGAAGTCCACAGTTAATTGGAAGAGATCAGCAAGAGTTAAGTATTTATTAGTGGGGAGGAGGAGTACCTTGCTTCAGAGGAGAAACTGAAGCATAAAAAGGCAGGAACTTTGATAAAGGAAGAGCAGTTAGAGGGGAGAAGAGCGGAGCGATACAAATTCACCCTGAGAGTCTGTTTTAAGGTGCCGTAGAGGAGCCGGTTAGGGCTGTGACACAGGGCAGAGCAGAAGGCCATGGAGCCAGATGTGACACAGACCACCTTTTTCTTTATCTGGATTCCAATCTAAGGAGAAGCAGCAGAAGTAGGGAAGGGACTGATTGGGCAGAGTTCAGTCCAGACTAGAACTGGTGTGAGCCCATCTCTCTTCCCCCACTGGGCTCCTTCCTTCCAGTGGGCACTCCTGGCCTTTGCCTGTATTTACACAAACAGGATGGCCCCTCAGCCCAGATGTTCCTGGGCAGCTCTAATTTAAAGTCCACTGCCCTTTGTCCCCATAGGTACACTTGTGCCTGTCAGACTGCAGCTCTTGGTTTTGGTTTGGAAAATAAAAGTCACGGAGGCCCAGATGCAGATTGTACCCTCCACAGAGCCAGGTTCTGTTCAGGCCATAAGACTGCATAAGGTGTCCTTTGTCCGGAGGATGCCTCAAGGGCCCAGTATTGGAAGTGGCCCCCAGCCCAGGGCTAGTCCCAGACCACTGATGCCAAGCAGCTGTCTGTGGGTCAAGGTCAACCCTTTCTCAACAGGAACCCTCAGAGGCTGTATTACCCATTAGACCCTCACTCCCATCCTGAAGCCTCAGGGTATAACTCAAACTCGATAAAATGGGCTTTCATAAACAACGCAAGCCTGAAAACTTGGGCGGGGAGGCCCCTCCAGCCCTGGGGGCTTCAGGAGGGTCTGGGCTGCCTGCCAGCTCCTGGCAGTCCCCAGACTTGGGGGGAAGGGTGGGGAGGCGGTGCTGTTACCCTCTCCTGCCCGCCCGGTTTCTAGCCTAGAGTTTCCTGGGGCCCTGGCCTCCTGGGCTTCCCACCCTGCCCTCCCTTAACCCTTTCCTCGAGGAAGGGAGTGGCACAGGTCCCCGATCTCCAGGGAGGCCTGGGAAGCGGGGACGGGGGGTGGCGAAGGGAGGAACCGAGGGACAGGCCAGGTCCCTGAAACCAAGCCCCCTCTCCCTCACCCGAATGCCCCTCCTTCCCCTTCCTCTTCCTTCCACTGGGGAAAGGGGAACGTGGAAGGAAATTAACTTTGACCCCTGGATTCTGGCTCTGGGCCCAAAACTTGGGTGGAAGGCAGAGGTTTCCAGGACCCTCCCCGCCCCCTCCCTTCCGCCCAATGCTCCCTCGCCCCTCCTTCCGCGCCCCTGTAAACTGCCCTGCAGACGGAGAAGGAGTTCATCCCGGAGGGGCTGGAGGAGTGGTGAAGGGGGAAGGCTGGGGGCGGAGGGAAGGGCGGCGGGAGCCGGACCGGTCCCACCCCTAGCTGCAACCCCTGGCAGGAAGAGATTGTCGCGGGAGCCGCCGCCGGAGGGACGAAGCTCCGGAGGGCGGGCGCCCGAGCGGTGGCGGGTGGGTCAGCAAGCCCGCGGACCCAGGCCGCGGCGGGGGGCGCGCCGCAGGGAGCAGGGGGCGTGGCCTGGGCTCCTTGGACCAGGGCTGGGGAGCCTGCCGCGTGGGACCCCGGTGACACTTCGGGCTCCCTCCTTCCAGGGCAGGCGGGGTAGCCATGCTCCTGGCCGGGGGTGACCCTCCCGCGCAGGAATGGGTCATGGTGCAAACCAAATCGAAGCCCCGGGTGCAGCGGCAGCGGCTGCAAGTGCAGCGCATCTTCAGGATCAAGCTGAACGCCTTCCAGAGCCGCCCGGACAGCCCCTATTTCTGGCTGCAGCTCGAGGGGCCCAGGGAGAACATGGGCAAAGCCAAGGTAAACAGCTCCTCCCCGCCCCCACCCGTCCCTGCCTGCCGGACCCCTCTCTGGCTCCGCTGCCACCCGCGGAGACTGGGGTCCCCAGAGGTCCACCGACTTGGATTCGGCATTATGGCGGGCAGGTACGAGAACATCCTTGCCCCTTTCCAGATCTGCAGCCTTGGTTCCTTCCCTCTGGTTCCTTCTTTCTTTTCTGCCCCACCCCTCTCTTGCGTGTCACTTCTGTCCCTCAAGTGCCCTGAGAGAGGCTCCGCAGCGGGTGTGTACCCCCATGAGCCTTCCTTGGCCAGGGCCTCAGCATCCACAGCTCTCCTCCTCCATCTGGGGAACAACTTAAGGTCCTGCATTTCTATGGCCTGTGCAACACACCTCTTTGTTCTCCACCAAGTCGATTCTTCTGTCTCTTTTTAAGTCTCCTTAAATCCTGGGCTGCCCCTTGGAGACTCTCAGAGTGCTAGGACTGGAGGGGTCCTTAGAGGTGCTACTAAAGCCATGCTGGCATTTTACAGATGAGTTATTGGAGACTGGAGAGGGTAAGGGGCCTGTGTGAGTGCTCAGGTCAGATAGGTGGGGGTGGCGGGGGGCTGGGATAGGAACCCAGAGCTCTGGGCTCTCTGGATGCCCTAGGCAGCCCCTTGCAGGGGCTCAGGGGTGGGGGTGCAGCTCTCTGAAAGATACCAGCCCTTAGGGATGGGTTGAAATCTGGAAGGAGGGCCATGGGCTTTCAGATGAAAGGACTTGCTGGATGGAACTGGACACTGGATAGGCCAGGTCATAGTGCTCCTCTCTTGTATTCTCCCTGGCTTTTCTCACAAGCTTCTCCTCCACTTGGGCCTCTCAAGTTCCCTTTGACCCCCCCAATCATGGCCAAGGTCTCTTTCTTCCCCAGGATTCCTTTATCTTATCTTTTCCTGGTAGGAATGCTACAGCCTCTCTCTCCCCCAGACCACCCCAACATGCTTCTTCCCCAGCTGGGTCTATACCAACATCCTAATTGGTCAAGGCCATGGGTGGGGGAGGCCCAGAGCGCACTGGCCAGCAGGCCAGCCTCGGGCAAGCCCCTCCCTCAGCCCCTCAGTTGAGCTGCTGTATCAGCAGTTTTTCCAATTCTGACAGAGGTGCTGGGGGAGGGGAGGGGTGCCTGCCCTGAGAACAGATGTGCAGGAGCCTCTGAGATGAAGAATTTTCAGTAGCTGGGATAGGGTGGGTTAACAAGAGGAGCCTTTTGGATTGTTTTGGGTTCTTAATGCTTTGTTAATTTGAAATACAACAGCTCACCCTCGTATAGGATTGAGGCTTTCTGAGGTGCCCAGCTCCCCTGGTCCCTGCTTAAATCCTGGATCGACTTTTCCAGGCCTGTCTGCTCCTGCTCCCACTGCCTCCTCAGGGATCCCTCTCTCACACCCCAGGCCCTGCTAATGCGGTGCCCTCAGTTCCCCCACCTTGTCACCTCCTTTCCCTTTGGCTTCCCCTGGGGAGAGGCACTGTTTAAGATGGAAACAGAGCATGAGAGGGTTCTAAGTAACTCCCTCCCTAATTTCACAGAATGAGCAGAAGGGCAGGGAATGTAGGGCGTATAAGACTTTGTCCCAGGAGTGAGGAGATATGGGCTTAATTTGCTGTCACCAAGCCACACTGGGACAGAGGGGTATGTTGGAGAGAGTTTGAGATTGGGGTTTGCTACCTCCTGGGTAACCTGGGTCAAATCATTTACCTTCTCCTGGGCCTATTTTTCCATCTCTAAAAGATATATTAACACCTTGCATCATGGAGCGGTTGTAAGAATTAGATGAAATAATGCATGCTTATGTACTTTTGCAAAATGTGGAAAGCTATAGAACACAGATGTCAGTTGTTATTGTTAACTAGCTTTGAGCAAGTCCCCTTTTCCCTCTCTCAGTCTCAGTCTCCTTGTTTGTAAAGTGAGAAGCTTGGATTACATGCTCTCTAAGGTCGAGCGATCTGATACAGGAAAAATTCCCAAGAATGAGGATGTCTCACGGTTTCCATGTGGAGTTGCCGTGGCTCACCCCTGTTCCGGCTGTAGGGACACAGAATCATGCACTTTGCTAATGGCCTACTTTACACAGACAACTGGCAGTGAGATCTCAGTGAAACTAGAGGTTGTAGAATGTGGAAGGGTTGAGGAGGATGAGAGTGGCGTGTTGGTGAGGGGAAAAGGTCAAGAAGGATACGTGTCCATCTGGAGGAGGGCTGAGTTGTGTTTCTACATCATATGAGGCTGTTTTTTCAGGAACATCTCTGTAGAGCTCTAGAGTGTCTTACATTGTTTTTTCATGGTGGGGTTTAAAAAGTGAGGACATCGCCCTGGTCGATTTGGCTCAGTGGTTAGAGCGTCAGCCCGTGGACCAGAGAGACCAGGGTTCGGTTCCTGCTAAGGGCACGTACCTCGGTTGCAGTTTGTTTCCAGCCCTGGTTGGGGTCGTGTGGGTGGCAACCAGTCAATGTGTCTCTCTCACATTGATGTTTCTCTCTCTCTCTCTCTTTCTCCCTCTCTATCTGAAGATGAGTGCAAAAATGTCCTTGGGCGAGGATAAAAAAAATAAAAATAAAAAGTGAGGACATTGCTGGAATCACATTCCCAGGCAGCAAAAACAAATACTGGGGAGGCTTGGCCTCTGAGGTGAAATCAGCAAGTGGAAAGGAGGGTTTTATTTATTTATTTAATTTTTTGGAAAATGTTTTTTTTTTTTTTGGTACGTGCCCTAGCCGCGGGAACTGAACCCAGGACTCTCTGGTCCGCAGGCCAATGTTCCAACCGCTGAGCCAAACTGGCCAGGGCTTTATTGTTGTTGTTTTTTTTTCAGAGAGAAAGGAAGGGAGAGAGAGATAGAAACATCAATGTGAGAGAGAAACATCAATCTGTTGCCTCCTGCACACCACCCAATGGGAATCAAGCCCAAAACCTGGGCATGTGCCCTGACCAGGAATTGATCAGGGACCTCTCAATCAATGGGACGATGCTAAATCCACTGAGCCACACTGGCCTGGCAGAAAGGAGGGTTTTAATAATGATCAGAATTGCCAAGGGACAAGCCCTCTGTCCTCCTGAACAATGATGTGAAGAAGGGTTGGACAAAGATAGGAGAGATGACATGTTTACTTCTTCCTTTTTGGAGACTCTTCTTGGAGATGGGGGAGGGAGGTGACAGGAGCCAAAGACTGGATTCAGGGAGCTGGGGGACAGGGTGTTATTTGCTCACTTTTGGCTTGGCTGTCAATTAGAAGTTCATTTATTCCTGCTGTCCATAGTACCATGGAAATTGGTAGTGGCTAGGGGTATGCTGGAGCTGGCCCTGTTAAAATTCCCAGAAGTTTGCAAACCAGTGGTGTCCCATTGGTAGTTTGAAATCAGCCATGCTGGGAGTCTTTACACCACGGAAATTGGCAAATGCTACAAATCAGAGCTATCCTCCAGTTGTGTTGTGTGCACCTTCTCCTTCTCCTTTATTTTAAACTTTATTTTTCTTTTACCCAAGTAATTAACAATTGAAAAGCTCAATAACTTTGAAAAAGCTCACAATAGAACACAGTGAATCCCTGTCTTGTCTTGCTCAACTCTCTATTCAGTGCCCTTTCTTGTAGACAGTGTTTGTTCTGACATTTACACATCTCCACATTCCTAAAAAACGACTGTAGGTACGATTATCTTTTGATTAATCCATTTTAGTTTTTTTTAACTTCCTATTATTGTAGGTGAAGATTTAACTTCCTTACATTTCCATCTCCTCTTTATTCCCAATACAGTTATTTTTCAATTTTCTGTTAAATCTATATTTAGTATTTGCATCATTATGCAAATATCATTAATATGTAAGCATTGAAGTATACCATGATTATGTTTTTGTTCCCACTTTTTTATTTCACTGAGGTTTAGAAGTCCTTGTTTTTCAATATGCTTTTCTTTTTATTTATTGCCAATTCCTACCACTTTCAGTGGCCTCTCACCACAATTTTCTGCAAAGCCAATCTATTGGTTCAAGGTGTTCTTTCAGTTCCAAATTTTTTCTTGGAGACACCCTTCCTTCCGTCTGGTCTGGCCTACATAGCTGTCATCCCGAGACTTCCTTTTGCGGACATTCTTGGCATCCCTTGGCCTTTTGTTGTCGTTGTTAAATGTCTTGTTTCCTTCACTGAATGGCTTTCTCTTCCTTGGGGTGCTAGAGCACATCCATTGAGAGCTTCATCAAGTTAGAAAGATGGTGCCGTGGTGAAGAGTATACTGATGCCTGCTCTCAACGTGCTTGTCTCTTGAGTCCTTCCCTCCCATCTGAACTAGTTGTCCTCTATGCCTGCTGGCAGTTGTCTTCCTAGAACAGTGCCTGACACATAGTAGGTACTCAATAATGGAGTTGTTGAGTGGATAAATAAATTCTGAGAGTTTTCTTCATCATCATCCTGGAGATTGCCTTTGTTTTTTTTTCTATGTTGGTATCCTTTCTTGATTTACTGGAAAGCACTCTCCAGGAGCTTTTTTTTTTTTTATCCTCACCCGAGGATATTTTTCCATTTTTTGTACAGATAGAATGGGAGGGAGAGAGAGGAAGGGAGAGAGAGAAACATCAACGTGAAGGGACACATCGAGTGGCTGCCACCCGCACGACCAACCAGGGCCGGGGACAAACTGCAACCAAAGTACATGCCCTTAGTGGGAACCGAACCCGGGTCTCTCCGGACCGCAGGCCGACGCTCTAACTGCTGAGCCAAACTGGCCAGGGCCTGAGAAACATTTTATAGGAGGCAAAATGTTGGGATTGTGTATCTGAAGGTCACTTGGTTGATAGTTTGGCTGGCATAGAATTGTAAATGGAAAATTATTTTCCTTCAGAAGTGTAAAGACATTACTCCAAAGCCTCCTTGCTTTTTAGATGTCTGAAGCTATTCTGGGTCCTGAGTCCTTCGTGTGTGAAGTTTTTCCTCTCTGAAAGTTTGTAGTTTCCCCCACTGTCCTGAGGTTTCCCAGTGAGACCCCCTTTGTGTGGGTCTGTCTTCATCCATTGTATGTTACCGTTGTATTCGGTGGCCCTTCCATCTGGACACTCCAGTTCTTCCAGTTTAGGGCATTTTCTGGAGCCATTTTGTGGATGACTTTCTCCCCTGTGTTTTCTGTGTTCTCTCTTCTTGGAATTCCTCTTCAGGCATTGGACTTTTTGGACTGTCTGGTCCACTTTTCTTATTTTTTCTCCTTTTTTTCAACTCTGACTTTTTGCTTTGCTTTCTGGTGATTTCCTTAACTTTATCTTCCAACCCTTTTCTTGGGTCTCTCATTTCTGCCATTCTTTCTTTCTATCTATCTATCTATCTATCTATCTATCTATCTATCTATCTATCTATCTTTTTTGTTTTGTTTTGTTTTGTTTTTATTTTTAATCCTCACCCGAGGATATTTTTCCATTTATCTTCGGATAGAGTGGGGGGGGGGGGCAGGGGGAGAGAGAGAGAAACACTGATGTGAGAGAGACACATCGATTGGTTGCCTTCCATACGACTCTCACCAGGGCTGGGACTGAACTGCAACCGAGGTGCATGCCCTTGACCAGAATTGAACCTGTGACTCTTTGATCTGCGGGCTGACACTCTAACCACTGAGCCAAACAAGCCAGGGATGTCATCATATTTTTAATGTCTAAATGTCATTTGTGTTCTCTCTGAATTCTCTTTTCAAAAACAGTATACTGTTCTTGTTCACTGTGTACTCTCTGAGGAGAGTAATGATAGTAAACTTCCTGGCGTTTTCCTCTCCCTGTCTCCCTGTCTACTTTCTCTTTCTTCAGGTTGCTCCCCACCCCTTTCTGTATATTGCATATTTATCTCACATTAGAAGTTTTCCTCATATGTCTGGTAATGTTTGCATACTTAAGAGTAAAAAACAAAAAGCCAGTTGGGTGCTGAGGCTGAGACTTACTGATTTTGAGCTTGGCCGTAGAGAGACCGGGGGGCACTGTCTGTTAGGGAGCCCATTTGGTGGTCTTTGCCCTTTGGCTGGCCTGATTTCTAGAATGTATTTCTCTATTCTCTGTCCTGGAGGGTCAGGGTCTGGCTGCTGAACCTCTGAATGGGAGGAACGCGTTTCTCTGCCTGCAGCTTTTATTGTAGCCATCATTATCCGTCCTCCCTCCCCCATGTTTGCTGTATGGTACCTACGCTCTCAAGTATGCTGGTAAACCTCTGATCCCAGGGCCTGTTTTCAGTTCTCTAGAGAACAAACCTCCAGTGGGTAGGAAGGTACTTGTCCAGCCTGTGTTCCTCAAACAACTTGACCTCAGTCGCCTTGTGTTTATAGTCCCCTTCACTCCCAATTCCAGAGTGCCTTGGTGCTGCCATTTTCTAAGCCTTGGGTGTATTCTGCTGTGTAATTTTGGGTTCTTCTGGCAAGTAGACAATGAATGGCAACTGACTTATGAGAAAGGAGAATCCTAAGTCAGGTGTTAAATAATAAAGTACCTTGATCAAGGATAGAGCAGTGTTAAGCTATTTAGTGGTGTTCTGATTTAATTACAAGTTGACAAAGGACCTGTGGGATATTGGGCAGTATCTTTTTACAAACACTCCACTCTTTTTTCTGTGCTTATTTTGTTCCTGTCTCTTTTCTACCTTTTCTCCTCTTGGAGGAAAAAGGTCTGGGTGGGCTTTATGCAGGAAAATTGCTGCAGATAGTTTTTGGATGTAAATGTCAGTTGTTTACTTTTCTTTATAGACAGCATCATTGTTATTCCTTGGAGTCAGAGGGCTGAATGCCCCAGCCCTCTATCTGTGTGACCTTGGACATGTGCCCATCCTTGCTCCTCTAAAGTGGTGGTGATAGTAATTTCCTTATAGGGCCGAGAGAAATAAAGGAGGTAATATGTGGCACATAGTAACTATTCAATAAATATTCAGATTTATTATTTTGAAAATTATTTCAGTTCCTACATATCTTTTAGTTAAAAAATATCGAACAGTTAATGGTACAATAAATATTTTAAGCTCTTTGCACAGAGAGAAAGAAACCACCCACCCATCTTCTTCCCCAGCACATTTCTCCATGTTTATATATTGTTTTCATGTGGCTAGAGTGTGGGGTGCATGAGGTGGGGGGGCTTGTTAAGGGCTGTGAGAATGATCCCACACCTGGTCAGATTCACCCATGCCAGGCAGTGGGTCCCGCTGAGGTTCTGGGTGGGAGGAGTTGGCTTCGGATGTCTGTTTTGAGTTGGTTTTGGACTGGTTAGAAGATAATTAGAACTGGGCCTAAGTGCCTGGGTACGTTTCGGGCCCTTTGGGGAAGGGGTTAGCAGTGTAGGGCCTGGGCCAGATGGGAGAGGCCAGCATAGGCCGGAGCAGGGAAGAATGGGATGGGCACTGAGCCTGGAGTCATCTTCAGGATGGCTACCGGAGATCCAAAACGGAGCATTTGGTTTCTAATGGAACTGTCAGGGGAGAGCAGGAAGAAGACGGCCGTTATCAGCACAGGGATTTGGAGCAACATGAGGGCAAATGCAGTCAACACAATTAAGGGAGAGTGCTCATGCTCCTTTGGAGCTCATGGGATCATGCGTGGAACTCAGCCCTCTGTGAAGGAACCCAACCTCTCCCATCCCGGGGCCTGCTAAAGACAGAGTGTGTGAGCCCCGTAAACAGGAGGACTTGGTCTGCCCAGGAAGCCAGAGGCCTTTCTTCTGCGTCAGCCACTGTGTGTATCTGTCCAGTTCTCCTGAATGCTGGCCTTGAGACTTATCTCCTCTTCTCCTCTTCTGTCCCCTCTGGGCAACAGAGTTACCATAGTTACAGGTACAGATTGTGCCAGAGACCTGAAGGAGGATTAAGCCAGAATCCCACAGGATTACCCTGTTGTCACTGTATAGTCAGTCCGAGGAAGTGGAAAGAGTTTTGGAATCAGACAGATGTGGGTAGTCTTGGCCCAGTCACCCTCCAGCTGTGTGTCCTTGGACAAGCTGCATAGCCCTTCTGAGCCTGCAAAATGGAAATTGGCTGTGCCAGGCACTAGGCTAAGCACTTCCTTTGCATTAACTCACTGAAGCTCTGTAATAGCCCAGTGAGGCAGAACTATTATTCCCATTTCATTGATGAGGAAATGTAAGTACAGGGAGGATAAATAACTTGCCCCAGGTCACAGAAGTTCCTGGTACCCAGAGGGTGAAATCTGCCCCCCCCCCCCCGCCCACTATTTCACAATTCTTAAATGCCAGAGTCAGACTGGACCTTAGGAGTACCTTGTTTAATCTGTCATGCAGGTAAAGAGGCTGAAATCATGCTCTGATCATGCTTAGAAAGATGGCACATCTCCCACAATTAACCTGATCTACTGAGGTCAAATTGGAAGTAGAACCAGGTCCTTGACTCCAAAGCCAGTTGCTCCTTTCCCTCCAGGCCTTCCCCATTCTGTCAGAGTTTCCTGGAAATAAATGCGTGTGTGAGTGGGCAAGGCCAGGGAGAGGGGGGCTGGCCATGACTTCTGGCAGGCAGGGGGTGGTGGTGCCTGCTTGGTGACGGGTGGGCCTTCTGGGTGGTGGAGTGTGAGCCAGTGGCCGCCCCCTAAAGGAATGACTTCCTTTGTGTTCTCCCCACTGTGGCTTCAGGAGTATCTGAAGGGCCTGTGCAACCCAGAACTGTGGAAGGAGGTTCGCTACCCGCCAGCCCTGCACTGCGCCTTCCTTGGGGCCCAGGGCCTCTTCCTCGATTGCCTCTGCTGGAGTACCCAGGCCTACCTGGTGCCCGGCCCCACTGGCTCCCTAATGGTGGGCGGGCTGACCGAGTCTTTCATCATGACCCAGAACTGGCTGGAGGAGCTGGTGGGGCGGCTGCGCTGGGGCCCTGCTCCTCTGTTCACCCCCCGGGGCATCTGGGAGGCTGAGGTGACCAGGGCCTTTGGGGCTTTGGTCTGGATCCGTGGTGACCAGTATGCAGGGGACCTGCTGCAGCTGCCCCCAGCAGTCCAGGAACTGCTGCTGAGCCTGGTGCGGGATGCTGCGGGCAAGGAGGACATCATCGAGTGGCTCAGCCGCATCGGCACCTCCAGCGCCCGCTCCGACCCGGAGGTCCTGATCTGTCCTCCCCACCAGCAGAAGGAAGGCCCAGCCGTGACATCCGTGGGAGATGGTCCTGGGCCCTTGCTGGAGATGAGGACCCTCCAGAATGGGAACACAGAAAATTCAAAGAGATTAACCAGCCTGGGAGCCACTTCAGGCCCGAACACACAACAGGAGACAGCAAACCAGCTGGTACGGTAAGTTTTGGAGAATCAGTCTGGCTTCTCTGCCCCTACCCCTGCTTCCCCACCCCAAGGAAATAATTTGGGACCTAACTGGCCTCCCCATCTTTCCAACAAACTCGGGCTTCCTCTAGGGTCGGTTCCGACAACCAAGGTGGTACGGACAGTGCTCACAAGGAAGGGCCAGTGCCAGCCGCCAGCAGCCAGGATTCTGCGAACCACTCCCAAGCTTTGTCGCAGCAGAGGCAGGTCCAGAGGGTGGAAGACAAACTCGCCTTCCAGCCCCAGGTGTCAGCCCTGGGTGTGTGCCCATCTTGGAAGGCCTGGGCTCCGGGGCCAGCCTTTGGGCCCTTGTGGCCAGGGGCTATTGCTGCAACCTTCTGGAGGATCAATGAGCTGCATTCTCTGCACCTGGCCTGGCTCCTGTCCCAGGCGTGCTTCAGTTTCCCATTTTGGCAGAGGCCTCTGGGCCCCATTCAGTTCAAGCTGCCTGGGCAGAGTCCTTTGCCCTTGAACTTGGAGTGGAAGCAGAAGGAACTGGTTCCTTTGCCCAGTGTGGAAAGCCCAGAATGTAGACCAGATGGGGGCCCAGGAGGAGAGGCAGCCCTGCAGAATTGCCCAAGACCAGAGACACCCCCCAAAGTCATGAGTTTAGTGGTGGTCTCAGGGGGCTTGGGTATAAAGGACAAAGCTAGCCCAGGACTCCCACAGATAGGGCCACCTTTGACTTCTACACCCCAACTGCAAGCTGGAAGTGAGCCTGGGGATCAAGGAAGTGTTCGGTGGGATTCTAAGGGGCCAGAAGAAGGGCCCTTTCCAGCACCACCCACAGGGCAAGGGATGCCTATAGCTCAAGGGAGGCCTGTGGGTCAAGGGGAGCTGACAGCTAAGTCAGTACCTGATGCTCAAACAGTGCCTGATACTCTCGAAGTGCCCATGGCTGCAGCGGTGCCGACAGCTCAGACCCCACCCACAAATCAAGTGCTGCCTGCAGCCCCCAAAGTGCCTACAGCCCAGATGATGCCGACAGTCCACACAGAACCCGTGGTCCACACAGAACCTGCAGCCCCCAAAGTGCCTCCTGCTTCAACAAAGCCAGCAGCTCACGGGGGACCCACAGCTCAAAAGGCAGCCATGGGTCCACCTGCATTGGCAGCTCCCGTGGTGCCTGCGACTCTGAAAACTCCAACAGCTCAGAAAATGCCTGCAGCCAAAACAGCACCTGCAGGTCCCCAAATACCCAAAGCTCAACCTGGACCTGCAGCTAAAACAGGGTCTGCAGCGCCCAAAGCACCTGCAGCCCCCAAAGTGTCTGCAACACCCAAAGCCTCCAGAGCTCCGAAGACGTCTGCAGCTCAGAAGGCGCTCACAGATCCAGGGCCAGCCTTGGATACAGCCAAACTCCTGAGAGAGGTCCAGCCTTTGCCAAAGGGCAGTGCTTCCTTCCCGAAGGGCCAGGGGGAGGCCAGGAGGCAGGGTCTCCAGTCCAGCAGCACCTTGGCTTCCAGTAGTATGTATCAGCCTCAGGTGGGCGGGCTCCTGGGGGCTTGGGAGGGGGCCCCAAGGCAGCCACCTCGACAACCACAGGCAAACAGCACAGTGACCAGCTTTCAGAGGTACCATGAGGCCCTGAATACACCCTTCGAGCTGAACCTGTCGGGTGAACCTGGGAACCAGGGGTTGCGGCGAGTGGTCATTGATGGCAGCAGCGTGGCCATGGTGTGAGTAGCATGGGGTAGGCTGGGCATGCTGGGGAGCTGGGGCAGGGCATCCATGGGAGACAGTGTGGACATCTTTTGTTGACCTCTGTATATGGGTGACATGTGGTTAAAATGGGGAAAAGATGGAAGGGAAGCGGTCCACATTGAGTGGCTACGGCATGCTAGGCAATGTGTGTGTGACCTTGTCACAGCAACCCTGCCAGTGTAGGTTTCTGTTCTTCGACAGAAGCAGAAACAGGCTCAGAGAGGTGATGACTCTTGCCCAAGGTCCCAGAGCCAGTATGGGTCCCAGCTGGCCTTTGGGTTCAGATTGTCCACCAGCAGGGCCACACTCTCTCCATGGGCCTGCCTCACATAACATGGTGTCAGTCAAGCCCGGGTCAGCTTGCAAATGATTAGCCCGAACCATAGGCCGAGCACAGAACTCCCCTATGAAGTCTGTCCTGACCAACACTTAGAGGTTGTCCTCCCTCCACAGCACTTACTGGTGTATGTGTTAGCATGAATTATATGTGAGACCACTTAATGTGCCCAGGTGGTAGAGTTACCTTGCTGAGCACGCTGCCAGCACACAGTAGGTGGCCAGCGAATGTTTGTTTGCTTCCAGCTCTAACCTGAGCCTTTTCAGTGTAGAGGTGTCTTGTCCTCTTCCTCCTCTGGCCCTGGAGGCCCCTACACACATGTGTGTATGCACACACACACACACACACACACACACACACGTAACAGTAGGTGCTCACAGAATGTTTAATGATGGAGGGAAGGAAGAAGGGCACCTCTGGTGCTGGTGCCCTGGCTTTGCCCGCTGTGCTGCCCAGGCTTTGAGGGAGGGGGAGGGGCAGGGCCCTTCCTTGGGCACGAAGTTGCCCCGTCACTTCTCACCGCCCCGCAGGCACGGCCTCCAGCACTTCTTCTCCTGCCGCGGCATTGCCATGGCGGTGCAGTACTTCTGGAACCGCGGACATAGAGAGGTCACTGTGTTTGTACCCACCTGGCAGCTGAAGAAAAACCGGAGGGTGAGAGGTGAGCTGTCCACGTCCCCCAGCCCCTGCAGCAGCGCCGGCTTTTCCTTTCCCTGTCTCTCTGTCCACACCTCGGCCTTTTCCACGCGCCCTCCTCTGACGATCTCTGTCTCTGCCTTTCCCCTCCAGAGAGCCACTTTTTGACGAAGCTACATTCCCTCAAGATGCTTTCAATCACCCCCTCCCAGCTTGAGAATGGCAAGAAGATCACCACCTACGATTACAGGTGTGCCCGTCCCCAGGCCTCTCTGTGGGGCTGTGGAGGCTGGGCTGGTGTGTCGGGTGGAGTCAAACATGTCAGAGAGGGCCATTTCGGAGAGGATGGTACATGGCCCTCTGGAGGCAGCGGGAGGGACACAGTGAGGAGAGGCCTCCAAGGTCTGCTGTACCCGAGGCCGGGGGCATTTGCGGCTTTGGGACTCTGCAGCTCCATTTCCCATAGTTGACTGACTGTCTTCCCCCTTGACCTCCGGACTGAGCTCACTGCTTTGGGTGGGATTAGCCCTGGTGACTGCTGGTGTATCGAGTGAGTTGTTCCCCCAAGCAGCCGGTTGAAGTTCGTGCCTCCAGGAACTGCTTCAGTCTTTCCCTTCCCCAGCCTTGGCACTGGGCGGAGGCATGTGTGTGACAGTATGTGGTCGGAGCCCTGGCTGGGCTCTGAAAATAGTCTGACTGGCCCCATCTCCTAGCTAAAGGCTGAAAACCTCCCTGCTTCTCAGTCCTAGGCATCCGGCCCTCAACGTGGCTGCACACCCAGGGTGCACAGGGCAGTCTTTGCTGCTGCCTCTGTGGGGAGGGAAGGCCCTGCTGCAGTCACTGGTCCTGGGCTGGAGTCCGTGCTGGGCAGACACAGGTCTCGGCTTCACTTAGGCAGGGAGAAATTCTCCTCCTCCCCACTTTTCCCCAAACCTGGCACCCACTCAGCCTTCAGGACTGGGAAGGACTAGGTAGGGCAGCTCAGGCACCTCTCCTTCAAGAACAAGCCCCCTGGATGAGGTGTTCCAGTGCCTCAAGAGTCAGGCCTGGGTTCGAAGGAAGATGGCTTTTCTGCAGAAGGTTCCTCTGCTGGGCACCGGTGGAATAGCATGCTTCCCAGTCCCAGCAATTGAGACGGGATGCTTGGGAAATGGGTTTATTTACTCAGATGTGTGTTTTTATACGTGTATGTACACATACACATATATGTCTCAGCGTGTACATGAATGTTGTGAGTTGGTGAAGAATAATAGTAGAAACTATGTGTGCATGCTGTTTGGCAGACAGGAGCTAGATACTTCAATGTGTTATTATTCAGGTCAATCCTCAGAGCAATATAGGGGAGGTGCTTTATGCTTTAGAGACGCGGAAACTAAAGCAGTAAAATGCATATATGGATGTGAACAAGTGTGTGGATTTGTGTGGGTCTTTGTGCACGTGTATGTGTGAAATAGGGGTCTGTGTTTGAATATACAGTTGGGAGGTGTACATCCCAGTTCACCCTCCTGGGGGCTAGTGGTGATCCCAGCTAGCTGCCGAGGTGAGGGGCTGGGCTCCTGAGCCCTGGCTTCTCCCTACCACGGGCAGTCTTTGTCCAACACAAAGTGAAACTGCAAGTTCATGGTCCCAGAGGCCTGGGGAAAGGAGGGGCTGGTTACTGGCTCATTAATGACTCCCCCTCTCCTTGCAGGTTCATGGTGAAGCTGGCGGAGGAGACAGACGGCGTCATTGTCACCAACGAGCAGCTCCACATCCTGATGAATAATTCCAAGAAACTGATGGTCAAAGACCGGTGAGGTGGCTCAGAGAAGGTTGGGCTGTTCCTTCTCCTGGGATGTCAGGCAGCCTGTAGCAGTGGGGTGTTGGGGCAGGGAGAGGGTCCTTGGGACAGTGGCTGGGAGTAGCTGTGGCCTTGGCCCCCATGGAGATGCCCAGTCAGCCACGCAGTGTGGCCGGTCAAGGCTGCTCTGACTGTGCTCCTCTCTTCTGGGTCCAGCCTGCTGCCCTTCACCTTTGCTGGGAATCTCTTCATGGTGCCCGATGACCCCCTGGGTCGAGACGGCCCCACCCTGGATGAGTTTCTGAGGAAGCCAAACAGGTAATGGGCCTCCCCCTGCATCCCAGCCCCTCCTGGGACTGACCAGAACCCCCCTGAGTGCTCGCCAGCATCTGTCAGTGCTTGCTAGTGAGCAGAGTGTCTCGATGGTCTCACACCTTTACCTTCTCCCACTTCCTGGGGCGTCCATAACCACTTCCAATATGGTTTTGCAGTTTGACCATTTTGCACACATGCTTTAATATTGTAAGTATCCTTCCACAACTGCCATTTGTACTCGATTTCTATTGTTTTTTCCAGATGTTAATTCATGTGGCTCCCTTTAATGGCCGTGTGGTGTTCCGCTGCGGTAGTACCCAACAGTTACGGGATCTCTTGGGTAGGGCTGTTGCCGGTTCTTGTTCCATTGTGTACAAGGGCAGCCGTGTCTGGAGTCTATGCCGAGTAGAATTTATTCCACATTTATTATCCCCATAGATCCTCACAACCTGAGTTAGATGTATGACCACTGTCGTCATTTTACAGAAGAGGAATCTGAGACTCAAGTGCGTTCCCAAGGTCCCTTTGCTGGTGCCAACAGACTGGCCTGCAGGAACTCAGATCCTCTGGCCTTCGCCCCTCGGGGCCGCCTTGCTGCCCATCCCCCAGTTCCCTGAGTCCAGAGGGGACTGTGGTGGGCCTTCTGGCCAGGGCACTGCTTCCTGGACCAGGTCCCCCCTGTCTCATTTTCCTGGTTTTGAAAAAAAGTGGTGTGGTTGTTTGTCTGCTGGGTTCTCCCAAATCCCTTGTCAGGCCTCCTTCCCTCTCTTGACCTCTCCCTGTCTTGCTCATCCTGGGGTCCCGTTGGAAGCACCAGCCATCTAATCCTTATCAACCATCGACTTAAAACTGGGTGAAAATGTCACTGGGCTAATGAGGTTTTGACTGTACAGGCCTTCAGAGCACAGCGGGGTCTCACTGAGGCCTGGCACATGGTGGAGGTGGGAGCACGTGCAGGCAGGGTCCTGCCTGAGGCTGGCACCCTCCCAGCCTCGGGGACACTGAGCGATGCGGAGAGCTGCAGGGTTCCCAGGTGTGGTTTTCTCCTTGGATGATCTCTGTGCCCCTCCCCACTCCATCAGTCCCTCTGCTCTGCTGTTCCGGTGCAGGTTGGACACCGACATTGGCAACTTCCTGAAGGTGTGGAAGGCTGTTCCTCCCAGCTCAGCCAGCATCTCCGAGCCGAGTGACACCGCCAAGTCAGAGCCCCTGGAGAGTCCTCAGAAAGTGGAAGAAGTCAGGGAGGAGAAGGAGGAGAGGCAGGACGAAGAGCCAGAGCCGAGGGAGAGGCAGGATGAGGAGCCGAGGGAGGGGCAGGACACACAGAGGCCAGCTGAGGAAGAGGAGCCGGACGCCTCGCTGGCATCGGTGTTCAAGGCTGAGTGCCCGTCCCTGTCAGAGGAAATCCTCCAGTGCCTCAGCCTCCACGACCCCCTTGATGGAGCCCTCGACATCGACCTCCTGCCAGTGGTGGCTTCTCCCTCCCTCGGGATCCCCTGGGACGGGAAGGCTCCCTGCCAGCAGATTCTTGCCCACCTGGCTCAGATGACCATCCCCAGCAACTTCACCGCACTCTCCTTCTTCATGGGATTCATGGACTCCCACCGGGATGTCATCCCCGACTACGAAGCCCTTGTGGGCCCCCTGCACAGCCTCCTCAAGCAGAAGCCAGACTGGCAGTGGGACCAGGAGCACGAGAAGGCCTTCCTGGCCCTGAAGCGAGCCCTGGTGTCTGCCCTCTGCCTGACAGCCCCCAACTCCCAGCTGCCGTTCCACCTGGAGGTGACTGTGAGCCAAGTGGCCCTGACGGCCACTGTCTATCAGGAGCACTCAGGGAGGAGGCACCCCATTGCCTATACCTCGAAACCCCTCCTCCCTGATGAGGAGAGCGAGGGACCCCAGTCGGGGGGAGACAGCCCCTACGCCGTGGCCTGGGCCCTCAAGCATTTTTCCCGCTGCATTGGAGACACCCCCGTGGTCCTGGACCTCTCCTACGCCGCCCGGACCACCGTGGACCCCGAGGCATGGGAGGGCCGCAGGCTTTCCAAAGCGTGGCTCATCCGATGGTCCCTCTTGGTACAGGACAAAGGCAAGAGGGCCCTGGAATTGACCCTTCTCCAGGGCCTGCTGAGGGAAAACCGACTGCTGACACCAGCGTCCTCCATGCCTCGTTTCTTCCAGGTTCTGCCTCCCTTTTCTGACCTGTCCACTTTTGTCTGTATCCACATGTCAGGCTATTGCTTTTACCGCGAGGACGAGTGGTGTGCTGGCTTTGGCCTCTACGTCCTGTCTCCCACCAGCCCTCCGGTCTCCCTTTCCTTCTCTTGCTCGCCTTACACACCCACCTACGCCCATCTGGCTGCTGTGGCCTGTGGCCTGGAGCGCTTCGGCCAGTCTCACCTCCCCGTGGTTTTCCTTACTCACTGCAACTGGGTCTTCAGCCTCCTCTGGGAGCTCCTGCCTCTGTGGAAGGCCCGGGGCTTCCTGTCCTCCGACGGGGCCCCGCTACCTCACCCGAGCCTGCTCTCCTACATTATATCCCTCACCTCTGACCTCCCATCCCTTCCATTTATCTACCGAACCTCCTACCGGGGCTCCCTGTTTGCTGTGACAGTGGACACCCTGGCCAAGCAGGGCGCGCAGGGAGGCGGGCAGTTTTGGAACTTGCCAACGGATGTGCCAGTCCCCGTAGTGTCTCCCCGTGCCATGGGCAAGAAGCCCAACTTGCTGGCGTTACAGCTCAGTGACAGCACCCTGGCAGATATCATTGCCAAGCTGCAGGCTGGGCAGAAATTGTCCGGATCCTCGCCCTTCAGTTCTGCCTTTAACTCACTCAGCCTGGACAAGGAGAGCGGCCTGCTTCTGTTCAAGGGCGATAAGAAGCCTAAGGTCTGGGTAGTCCCGAGGCAGCTCCGGAGGGATCTGATTTTCTCTGTGCATGACCTCCCCGTGGGGGGCCACCAGAGGCCTGAGGAGACCTACAAGAAGTTGCGGTTGCTGGGGTGGTGGCCCGGGATGCAAGAGCACGTCAGAGGTTATTGCAGGAGCTGCTTGTTCTGCATTCCCCGAAATCTCCTAGGCGGTGAGCTGAAGGTTATCGAGTCCCTGTGGCCCCTCAGGTCGACCGCCCCCTGGTCGAACCTGCAGATTGAGGTGGTGGGCCCAGTCACCATAAGTGAGGAGGGCCACAAGCATGTTCTGATTGTGGCTGATCCCAACACCAGGTGGGTGGAAGCATTCCCGCTGAAGCCCTACACGCACCTGGCTGTGGCCCAACTGCTGCTTCAGCACGTGTTTGCACGGTGGGGTGTTCCCGTGAGGCTGGAGGCCACCCAAGGCCCCCAGTTTGCCCGGCATGTTCTGGTGAGCTGTGGGCTGGCCCTGGGAGCCCAGGCCACCTCCCTGAGCAGGGACCTCCAGTTTCCCTGCCTGACGAGCTCAGGGGCCTACTGGGAATTCAAGAGGGCCCTCAAGGAGTTTATCTTTTTGCACGGCAAGAAGTGGGCAGCTTCTCTGCCCTTGCTGCACCTGGCCTTCAGGGCCTCCTCCCCCCAGGCCACACCATTTCATATCCTGACAGGTGGCCAGGAGAGGCTGATGGAACCCCTGTGGTGGGAGATGAGCAGTGCAAATATCGAGGGGCTCAAGATGGATATCTTCCTGCTACAGCTGATGGGGGAGCTGCTGGAACTCCACTGGAGGGTGGCTGACAAGGCCAGTGAAAAGGCGGAGAACAGGCGGTTCAGGCGGGAGAGCCAGGAGAAAGAGTGGAACGTGGGCGACCAGGTCCTCTTGCTGTCCCTCCCCAGGAATGGCAGCAGTGCCAAGTGGGTGGGTCCCTTCTATATCGGGGACCGGCTGAGCCTGTCTCTCTACAGGGTCTGGGGCTTCCCAACCCCGGAGAAGCTCGGGTGCATCTATCCTAGCAGTCTGATGAAGTCCTTTGCCAAGAGTGTCACGCCCTTGTCCTTCAAGGTCTTAGAGCAGTGAGCTGAAGCAGTGGGGGAGGCCTCACCCCCAGGGTCCTGGGCTGCTGCTGCTGCTAAGCCTCCCCCAACCCCCATCAGTGCTCTGAAAGCCCCCTGGGGGCCTCCATTGTGCCTTTTGTGGAGAATTTACTTCATAAAGCTTTGCTGAATTGCCTTGAACTGGGGACCAGCGTCCCTATGGAAATGTCCCCAGTGTAGGGTATTGGGAGAATCTGCTGTCAGATATGGGGGCCCCTGGCAGTTTCACCCCCTGGAGTGCGAAGTCCCCTTACCCAGGTAGGCCAGGCTCTGTCTTTCCCCAAGTATCCCCTTCACCCTGACACACAGGTGCAGGTGTACACATGCAAACACGCACACACACAGAATTTGGTTCCTGGCTACCTAACTAAAAAACCAGCTCGGGCCCTGGCCGGTTTGGCTCAGCAGTTAGAGTGTCAGCCTGCGGACCAGAAAGGCCTGGGTTCGGTTCCTGCTAAGGGCACGTACCTTGGTTGCAGTTTGTCCCCGGCCCTGGATGGGGTCGTGTGGGTAGCAGCCAGTCGATGTGTCTCTCTCACATCATCTCTTCCCCCCTCTCTCTCCTGCTCTATCTGAAGATAAATGCAAAAAAATTAATAATAATAAAAAACTAAAAACTGTGGCTCAGGACCTTAGAACCAGAACCACGGCCCACTCTCAAACAGAAACCTCGAATGCAGACTCCTCTCCTCTGACCTTCATTTGGGGACCCCTTGCCCTGGAAGTTGTCACAGTTGACAAATCCATCAGGCTCTGGAGAGGCAGCCTGTTCCCATTCTCATGGTCAGCTTTCTCAGGCCAGGCGAGGCTGGCCCCGTCTAGGAAGGGCTGGCAGTCCTGGGCCCTGAGGCTCCGAGCTGGGGTGGGGGAGTGGCCAGCCACGCCAGCTTATCAGATGGAAAGGCAAGGGGGAAACTGAGTCAGCCTACCTCATTTGACTCCAACCAATGGAGACAACCCTGACCCCTGCTGTGATGGTATCAACCCCACAGGAGTCAAGGATCTCGATGCCAAGTGTGGCATCTCTACCTGAAGAGCTGCTTCAACTAGACCAAGGGGCCCAGGCCTCTGTTTCAAGTGGGGGTGTATGTGTCTGAAATGAGCGGTGTGGCTGATGGTAAGGTGCTGATGTGGCTCTACCTCCCAACCCCACCCAAAGCCCACAGCCCTCTCCTCCCGCCTCCACTGTGCCTGCAAACCCGCCCCTGCATAGTGTGTGATTGCTGCCGTCGCATCACTCCCCATCCCCTGGACCTGCTTCCACTCTGCGATGATTGCTCTTGCAGCAAGAGTGAGTTCTCATCGGTGTGTGTGTTTACACTCACCCTCTGAATCGCTGCTGCCGCTGACACAATGAACTCCAGTGAAGGCCGGCCCCCTATCCCTCTGCCTGGGCCTCTGAATAGTTTTATTTTTCCAGAGCTGAGCCCGTCTCCTGGCCTAGCTCAGGTTGCCAACATACTTGGCATTGCAAGAGCCAGAGTAGAACCTGCCATAGAGTTAAATTTGCTTGTTTTACAGCCAAAGAAATGCCCGGAGAGGGGAAGGGACTTGCCCAAAGTCACACAGGTAGTTTGTGGCTGAGCTGGGACCAGAATTAAGCTTCCTGACTCTCAGTTCACCACAGACAGGTGTTCTGGTGACAGGTTCAAGTCAGAGAATCCCTCTAAAGCCTATACTCATTCCCTCCAGTTCCCCATCTCCCATATCTCGTTGACAAACTACTAGATGTTGCCCTTGAACCATTTTCAGCTGTTAATTCTGTTCAGGAAAGAATGATTGGGTGACATGAGAAACTGAAAGGTGAGCTGTGGGAGTTTTAGCAGATACCCCCTTTCCTTTTTCGCCCTTCCCTACTTCTCTCCCCTCCCCCGCTAATGGTATGGCCAACCTCATTCTCCCTTCCCAGTGCTGTACCTACTCCCCGTTAACCACACTTATGATCATGTACCTTTTTATGTTTCATTTGATTTATCAATAAATAGATCAATATGGAGCCCATCTCCAGTTGTTTTTTAGCTTCATTTCAATTATGGGAGCAAGGAAGGTGGGAGGTAGCCGTGGGGCGTGGCTGCTGGCCCGTTTCCCAGCTGACATGCAGACCTGAAGACCTGGATGGCACCTTTCCAAGTTGATCTGGCCCAAGCTGTATTGTATAGACAAGACCAGCTCTCGGGTAATGATCTGAAGGCCCCATGGGTGGGTTCATGGCAGGGCCCGGGGGAAAGCCCAGGCTGTGGCTTCCAAGCTGGTGCTCTTTGCGGGTCATGTCTTGAACATGGGCAGAGTGAAGATGAACCAAGGCTGGCATAAGAGCACAGCGTCAGTGCGGAGCCAGCTCAGTTGTATGCGAGAAGCATGCGAGAACTAAGCTTGAATACTGACTCTAGCCGGCTGCCTACATGGCCTGTTTCCGAGGTCTCGTTTCCCCATCTGTCAAATGTAGGGTAACAACTATGGATGAGCAAGGACTACATGAAATCATCTGTGCGAAGAGTGTGATGTTGGGTGTGGAGTAAGTAGGCGTCATTGTTATGGACTGTATGTGTTCCCACAAATCCATGTGTTGAAACCCTAACCCCGAATGGAATGGTGTTAGGAGGCGGGGCCTCTGGAAGGTAATTAGGTTTAGATGAGGTCATGAGGGATCCGTGTCCTTATTAGAAGAGAAAACAACTAGAGCTTCCCTCACTATCAACCTCTCAAGGGCATAGTGAGAAGAAGGCCACTAGCACACGAGGAAGTGGGCTCCCCCCAGACCAGCTGGCACCTTGCTCTTGAATGTCCAGCCTCCAGAATGATGAGAAAGAGATTTCTGTTGTTTAAGCCATCCCGTCTGTGATGTTTTGGTTAGAGCAGCCCGGACCGACTAAGAGGATGGAGCACATGTTAGCTAACATTTCTCAATTGCCTGCCCCGAAACTCAAGGTGTTACCGCCCCTCAGGGTCACAGACCTTCCTGGCCCTGGCCAAGCTTCTCGACTTCGGGCCTCTGCTTCTTGCTGCCTTTCTCACCAGCCCAAACTGAATGGCAGTATACACATGAATTGAGAGCTCCCTAGCTCATGTGCACACTGCCATTCAGTATTTACAGAGCACCTACTGTGTATCAGGCCCCGACGGGGTATGGGATGGATAGCAGGTAATGTGAGTGACATGAGTCTCTTCCTCTTTAGAGCTTGTGGTCAGGTGAGGGAGACAGTTCAACAAGCAAATACAGTTCAGAGGGGTAAAGGAAAGGATGTGGCATAGGAGCTGCAGGCACAGGGCCTGGGGTACAGCTCACATACCCTTCAGAGAGGTCTTGGTCTTCCCTGACTCCCTTGGCCAAGAGCAATTAATTACATGTTCTCAGCACAGTCAGTGACTAAAAGGTTCAGAACTCCTAAATGGAAGACTGATAAGAAAGGTGGCTCAACAAAATCTCTTTCTTTTTATTTTATTTGTTAAAAAATGTTTTTTTTACTGATTTTTATTTATTTTTTTGGATTTATTTTTATTTTAAAAATTAATTTATTTTTGTTACAGATGTTTCTCCTTTTCTCCCCACTAATTCCCCCTCCCCTGTCCCCAGCTTTGTTGTCCATGTCCATTGTGCATGCATATATGCATATAAGTTCTGTGGTTTATCTCTCCCCCACCACCTACTCTTCTGGGAATTGTCAGTCTGTACCCCACTTCCACATCTCTGGGACTACCCCATTCCTCAGACTGTTATGTTCATTATATTCCACAAATAAATGAGATCATATGATACTTGTCTTTCTCTGTTTGGCTTGTTTCGCTTAGGATAATACTGTCCAGGTCCCTCCATGTCGTCTCAAAGGATAAGAGATCTTTCTTTCTTACAGCTGCGTAATACTCCATTGTGTATATGTACCACTGCTTTTTTATCCATTCGTCTACTGATGGACACTTGGGCTGTTTCCAGATCTTAGCTATTGTAAATAGTGCTGCTATGAACATGGGGGTACATATATTCTTTCTGATGGGTGTTTTCAGGCTTCTTAGGGTATATTCCTAGAAGTGGGATCACTGGGTCAAATGAACGTTCAATTTTTAATTTTTTGAGGTAACACCATATTGTTTTCCATAGTGGCTGCACCAGTCTGCATTCCCACCAGCAGGTGTACTGGAGTCTCCTTTTCTCCACACCCTCGCCAACACTTGTTGTTTGATGATTTGTTGATGGCGGCCATTCTGACAGGTGTGAGGTGATACCTAATTGTTGTTTTCATTTGCATCTCTCTGGTGATTAGTGATGTTGAGCATTTCTTCATATGTCTCTTAGCCATTTGTATGTCCTGTTTGGAGAGGTGTGTATTTAGTTCCTCTGCCCATTTTTTAATTGGGTTTTTTGTCTTCCTTTTGTTGAGTTGTATGAGCACTCTCTATATATTGGAAATTAACCCCTTATCTGATATATCATTGGCAATGATGCTCTCCCATACAGTGGGTTGCCTTTCCATTTTGATGATTGTATCTTTCGCTGTGCAGAAGCTTTTGAGTTTGATGGAGTCCCATGTGTTCATTTTCTCCTTTGTTTCTGTTGCCTTAGGGGATGTATCAGTGAAAATTCTGCTGCGTATGATGTGCAAAATTTTTTGTCTACATTTTCTTCTAGGATTATTATGGATTCATGAGTCATATTTAAGTCTTTTATTCATTTTGAGTTTATTCTTGTGTATGGTGTAAGTTGATGGTCTAGTTCCATTTTTTTTTTGCATGAAGCTGTCCAATTTTCCCAACAACATTTATTAAAGAGGCTGTCTTTACTCCACTGTATGCTCTTGCCACCTTTGTCAAATATTAATTGAGCATATTGCCTTGGGTCCATTTCTGGGTTCTCTGTTCTGTTCCACTGGTCTATATGCCTGTTCTTGTGCCAGTACCAGGCTTTTTTGATTATTTTATTGCTCTGTTCAAGTTTTCTATCTCTTCCCAGTGCAGTTTTGGGAGACTATGTGTTTTTAGAATTTTGTCCATTTTGCTTAGATTGTCGAATTTGTTGCTGTATAATTGTTCATAATATTTGTTAACGATCCTTTGTATTTCTGTGGTGTCAGTTATTATTTCTCCTCTTTCATTTCTGATTTTGTGTATTTGGGTTCTCTCTCTTTGTTTCTTGGTGAGTCTAGCTAAGGGTCCATCAATCTTGTTTATCTTTTCAAAGAACCAGCTCTTTGTTTCATTGATCCTTTGAATTGTTTTTTTGGTCTCCATGTCATTTCTTTGTGCTCTGATATTTAATATTTCCTTAATTCTACTTGCTCTGGGGTTTTCTTTTTGTTTGCTTTCTAATTCTTTAAGTTGTGAGGTTAGGTAGTCTATCAGAAATTTTCCTTGTTTCTTGAGGTAGGCCTGTAGTGCTATAAA